CTTGGTAGACCTGTTGGTGGTAATGCTACTTGTGAAGTTCTTAAAACTGTTGTTGCTTTAAGTGTTATTAATTAGCTTTACAATTACAATGATCATAACAATAATAACAATCATTTCAAGTGAGCAAACAGATTACATCAAACCAATTAATTTGAGTATATTTGTAAATATACAATTAAACTATATTATGCTAAAACTGATAGAACTGCTTATAGAACTGATGGAGCTGTTGCAGGATCATGTCATTAACTGATTTAATTAATCATTTTAAATTAATAAAAATATTATACAAAATCTGAATTGTCTGAAAGATTATGGGATATGAGAGTATGATTTGTAAAATGATATGGAGTGAAGTCATAGCATTTTATTCATTCAAATGCTTCCAGAGATGAACATGCATCTATATTTTTAGTTTAGTCAAAGGACTCTCCATTCAGTGTATCCAAGGTCACATGGCATAAAATTATTTAATTTTAGATGAAGTCAGATTTATTTCCTTATTCTATTTTTATTATTATTATTTTTTTTAATCATCATTATATCTTCTGCCTACTGATTTTCCGCTGGCTGTTAGAATAGATAACTTTGCCAGCGCAGTTGACTAATTTTGAATATCGGGGAGAAATGGAAAAGAAACCTGTTTGTGGACTGTAATAGGCCTATTTGACTTGAAACACAATCATATTAATTTTTTTTTTTTCTTTTCCGTCAGTTGGTGTTTCTTGGACTTTTGGGAAAAACATTCTGTGTTTAAAGGTGATATTTATTGGTGAATTGTTCCATTCCATAATTGTGTCTGTATTGTAACATCTAAATCTTCACAATAAATATGAATGTGAGATAACTTCTCAAGGTTATGCTTTGCCCTTTCTTCCTCAATACTGCAGAAGTAATTGTCCAGGGATTCATTATCATTTTCTGGCTGAAAAGTTTTTCTGGTAACTTTTTCCTTTTTTATTTATTTTTTTATTTTTTTCCCCAAATCCCTGCAATAACTAACTAGCTAGCTAGCTAAATAAATAAATAACTAAATACATACATACGTACATACACATACATACAAAAATGCTAAATAATATAAAGTTAATTGACAAATAAACATTATTGAAGAGAAGTAAGCAGTCACAATAAGAGCAAATAAAGAAATTAAAAGAGCACAAATAAATGATATAAATTAAATAAACAGTGCTTTAAGTTGATCAGGTCGGTCTAACAGTATACTGCTATCAAATCCTTATAATCTAGTGATGATAAACTTACTCATTGTAAATGAGTAGTGAAATTAAAAAGAGCTGCTTTAGCTCCATCCCTAATCCTGACAGTCTGGCATTGTCTTGTCAAAGTGCTCACTCTACATATTGTGCTCACAACACAATTCAGTTTATAATATAAACTACAATATAAGTTAAAATGTAATGGCCCGGTTTCACAAACGGGGCTTAGCTTAAGCCAGAACTAGGCCTCAGTTAAATTAAGATATTTAAGCAACTTTTACAAAAATGCCTTAGAAGAAAACATTACAGGTGTGCATCTTGACACAGAACAATGACACTGACATATTTTAAGATACGTCAGAGCAAGATATTTTCAGTTGAGACAGCTCAAACATGCATTTTAGTCTGGGACTAGCTTAAGCCTTGTTTGTGAAACCGGGGGAATTATGTTATGATTTTTTTATGAAGTCTCAGCTTTCACAGCTGACTAGCGATATCGCTAGCTATTAATAGTTTGTCACTGGTGGTCAGTTAAGCTGTCTTGATCTGTTTTTATTCTTGTGCGATGGTTTGTAGATCCCCAAGCTGCCGACGAGTCAGGTATATTTTCTCCTGTCCCGATATGAGAGTTATGGAGAGTTGCCTGGAGCAATATGGCGGCGACGTTGACGTGCCCATGTCTATGGTCATCTACCTCTAGTCTAGATAGTTCACCTATATATTATCCTAGCTTGTAGTTATGTACGGTTGATAAAAATGTTAAAATTATGCTTACTTTACTCAGTAACGAATCCCAACTCATACGCATGAGGCCTGACTGACGTTAGGATAAACTTGCAGTAGGCGCGGAAATGCCGAGCCTGCTCAGCAAAGCCAACTGGTGCGCACTTTAACGGTAAAATACAACTATAATCGCTCAAATTGCCCATTTTAACGATGTTTAACAGGTGGAGAAACAAATGTGTGTCAAATGGGACTTGTACATTACAACTGCAGTGCTAATGCAGCACAGCACAGCGGCCACTGTCTCAAATGCAAAACTTGAAAGGTAAACACACTTCGGAAAACTATACAGAACATAACTAAAACACTATTCTGCTAAAATTAACAATAATCTCCCTAAAGTCATGTTACACAAGCATTCACTCACCTCTTCCACGACATGTTGAATATGCTTCTTCGCGCTGCCCAACCGACAGCTTCGTCAAATTCATGTTGTTCGTCTGAAATTCCTCCACGATTTAGTTAGTTCGCTGTATAGTCTCGTGTCTCCTTGTTTGATGTTGCACTGCGATGTCTTTATGTATTAAACATAAATCTAATTTCTAGATTTGCTGAATACGTTTTTTTTTCTTGGTGGAAAGGATTCTGAAATTGAATTAATGTTAAACTGACTCAAAAAATCAAGTTGAATCTAGTATAACTTGTATAAAACAGTTTAAATTGCTTAAATTATTTTCATGAGTTAAAGTAACTTAAAAACATAAGTTGTCATGACTTTTTCACCATATCATTTTTTACAGTGTGGAAAAGTTTACTTTAATTTAAGTTCACTGAACAAGCTATTTTTTTGAGTGCAAGATGATGAACCGTTTTTTCCATTGAACAGAAAGAGTGTGAAGGCGTCTGAAGAATTGTATTGATATTATAGTTTAAACACACACACACATCCTCCATTCTTCACTTGATGCTCCTTCCTGTAGAGTTTAGCAGGACTTTGTACGTCTGAATTTAAGAAATCTAGAGAGTTCAGCTTGATTTGTCATTTTCTTTAACAAATTTCAATGCAAACACATAATTCTGAACTTAATTCACATTTAAAATCCAAATCTAGACCTTGAAAGTTGTAGTTGTGTAGGCTGTCAATGGAGGAACAGAAAGCTCTCATTTTATTAAAAATATGTTTATTTGTATGTTGACCATTTTCATTTTTGGGTAAACAAACCCTTTAATGGGTCGTGAAAGAAAATATGATTGATTCGGAGTACTCACAATATTAAAATGTCCATCCCTCAAACAGGTACTCCAGTTTACATGAGTTTAGTGGATTCCAGTAATTGGAGAGCTTCATTGGACATGCGTTTATAGTATATAAGTGCACAGAGTGTGTAAAACACATTAGCGTTCTAAAAAGCCATCAGTGGAAATAAATAATACAATATAATACAAAATGTTAAAAAGCAGTTAAAACAGTTTTATAAAAAAAAAAAAAGCTCAACAGGTTGCTGTCCTTCAGTAAACATCTATATATGTGAACATCAATGAGTTTGCTCACTGAATTGCACACATCTTCTGTTTTAGTAGTTTCTTCAAAGCCTGGATTACAGCCTCCTCAAGACCACTGGCAGGCGTTACCGACACTCTCTTCAGACAGAAAGCTACAGCGATTACACAGATTTCAGCAGCAATGAACTTAAGAGCATCACGTCGACACTCCTCTGCTAACAGGCAGTATATTTTCGTCCATTCTGTTTGAGAGACTAGTTTGTGCTCCTGTTTGAACTGCTTCACTTTCTCATCCAGTTTCTGATTCTGAATCTCCTGAATGCGTTTCTCTGTTTCATTAAACATGTCATTGGTGAAGTGCATCCCTCCATTTTCTGTCACCATCATCTCTATTTTCCTGATCAGATCTTTGAACTGTGGGAAACTTGAAGAGTTGTTGTCCAGAAAGAAGAATCTGTTTCCACAACTGTGTATGAGGGACTGAAGTTCTGGATCACTATCCTGTAGAAACTGCTCAATGGTTTTATCTTCCTTCTCTAACTGATCTTTGTGAGTAAAGAGGATCATGGTGTGTTTTATCATCTGTTCCCCAAAGACTTCTTTGAGTCTCTCTATTGTTTTCTTATTTTCCTCAGTGAATCGACCCACTTTAATCACGATAATGAAAGCATGTGGTCCAGGAGAAGCAAACATCACACATTTAACTATTTCTTGTATAACTTCCTCCTCACTGAGTTCAGTATCATAAAGTCCAGGCGTGTCGATCGCTGAGATCTGTTTACCAAACCTCACTGTAGTTTCTGCCTGACACTGTTTTGTCTGAGAGATTGTACTAGTGGAAGATTTGAACAGGTTTCTGCCGATGATGGTGTTTCCAGTGGCACTTTTCCCGGATCCAGTTTTTCCCAGCAGAACCAGCCTGATCTGGTCTTTCCTCTCAAGAATCACTGGAATCTCATCTAGATCTTTTGATGGAGACTTTCCTGAAACTACAACGGGAAGACCAATCATCAATGTACTGTTTAATTAAATCTCAATATTCTCAATAAATTCTTGCATTTTTGACCTTGGGCCTATCGCACTGAGGGTGACGCAAAAAGGCGAATCGCTGATGAATGGTGCTTTCACACCAAACATTAGACGATGAATCGCCGTTGGCTAATTCATGCCTGCACGATATGTGGCACTGCCTAACAATGCATTTTACACCACACTAGGCGGTGCAACTCACCACTCAGCTGATAGTCCTACTGTCAATACTACTAGCCAATCAGAGGTGTTTCTGTTAGACAGAGTTCTGCACACTTGCAAATGATTCAAGGGTGTCATTGCATCATACATTGGCGTCACTTAATCACGCTCAGTGTGAAAGGCATTTAAAATCAGAGTGCATATTCTCTTAATTAATCAAGCATGAAATATATAAGTGCTTTACACTTAATGAATTACTTGCATGTCTTATAGAATTAATTTACAACAACAAATCATCTTACAGCTGACACCAGCAGAATCCATGCTTGATCTCCTCCTCGTGTGTTTCATGATAAATTTCCCACTTTTCTCCATCATTCTTTCAATCATCTGCAGTAGTTCTTGAACCTGATCATATGCCTCTTTCTTGTTATTGAAACAGTGAAACTTTCCTCCACATTCAGTCACCAGTTGCTGGAAATCTGCATGGTTTTGCTTTTTTAGATGTTCATCAATGGTCTCATCCAGATCCTCCAGCTCATCTTTGTGTGTGAACAGAATCATGATGTACTTCTGAACTTCAGGACCAAATAAACATTTAATAGTATACAGGATCTCTTCCTCATTTTGCACAGGTTCCTCTAGAGGAACGGTGAGCAGAACTGCACTGAGACCTGCTGAACATCGAGAGACCAGCTGCTCTTTCAGACTTTCAAACTTCTCTTTGCTGAGATCTGGATCTAGTAGATCTGGAGTATTAATCACATGAACCTGCTTCCCACCGATCTGTGATGCTTCTTCACAAACTTCAGCTTTGTCTTTCTTCTTACGTTTTTGAACTTTAAACTTTCTCTCTCCCAGTATAGTGTTTCCAGATGAGCTTTTCCCAGAACCATTTCTGCCCATCAGAAGAATCCGGATCACCGGATCATCTTGACTGGAGCTGATCGCTGAGATGTCTGAAAGAGACAGAAGGTATGGAGAATGATTGTGTAGAACAGGGTCATATGTATTAAATTCCACAAGTTAAAATCTGAATCTGCAGTGTGCTATCCAAATAATATCACAAGTCATTCTTCATAATTTGTGAAACTTTCACAGTACAGTTTTGGTCAGTTAACCCTTCCTAAGTCCGTGGCTTCACTGTTGTGAGTAAAGTTAAGCACCAACTGACCAAAATCGCACTGTGAAAGACTTCACAAATCACAATAGTTAAGGTGAGCACTCAAGAAACAGTTAACAGACTAAAACTACACCTTGAAAGATTTCACTAATCAAAATAGTGAAGGACTCAGGGAAGGGATTACTGACAATTTAACCAAAGTATGACCCGACGAGATGTCAAAGAATGTTGTCTTGATGATTATCATCAGTAAACCACTAATGGGTCATTACATGTCAAATTAACCAAATTTCAGAAACTTCCCCTGTTCAAATTTTTGTTACAGATATATATTTATGGAGTAATCCACTATTTTGTAGAGGGGATCAAAATTACTTTAGAAAACTGGAAGCGTCATTATTTTATTTTTACACAGAGATTGGTAGGTCTATTAGTTAATCTTCCTTTTGGTATCTTCATTTTAAACTTCCTTGATGGTTCAGTCCCAGAGATATGGAGATCTTAATGCTGCTCTATGAGTAAACTGGTAAATTGTACACATTTTCAGTGATCAAAAACCAAATGTGGGTCACTTCACACACAGCTGATACCTTTTCTTTTAAAAAGGAATATTTAAAGAATAAATAATGTTAAAACTAGAAATGTATCTCATTTTTTGTTTGTCTATCAGCTCAATTGCATAGAACATACATGTCTGAGTGCCATAAATATTATTTTTCTATAGCTGTCATGCCTGTAACTCTAAAAGTATTCATGGTATTTTAATATCTTCTAGATTCTCATGCTTAATAAACTCATTTTAATATCTAAAAAGTTCTTACACCAAGAGTTATGGTCGCTTCACACACAGCTGATACCTTTTCTTTTAAAGAGGAATATTTAAAGAATAAATAATGTTAAAACTAGAAATGTATCTCATTTTTTTTGTCTATCAGCTCAATTGCATAGAACATACATGTCTGAGTGCCATAAATATTATTTTTCTATAGCTGTCATGCCTGTAACTCTAAAAGTATTCATGGTATTTTAATATCTTCTAGATTCTCATGCTTAATAAAATTTTAAAATTTTAATATCTAAAAAGTTCTTACACCAAGAGTTATTTTATAAAGTGTCAAAACTGTTACCACAGTATCAAAAGGAAAACACACTTTGTGTCATTTAAACGTATTTTAATCATGATTTTATTAGTGCCATGTGCTCTTAGCATTTATGCTAGCAAGTGGAGTTTTTGGCAAAAAATAAATAAAATTGTCAATTCTGTTACAGTCAAACTCTGTTACCAAGGTAGAGTAACAATGCTGACAATGCGTAACAGAACTGACAGTCCATCGGACAATTCTGTTACTTAAAGGGTCAAATCTGTTTATGAACTATTTTCACAAAAAACAATACAACTGTTGTTTAAAATCTCATAAACATTATTGATGTATTTTGCACCCTTATAATATTTCAACAACATTTTTTTTTTTTTTTTTTCCTGGATATTGTATATAATAAATTTCCAGACGAAAAATATGTGCTCCAAGTGGACGATTCTGTGAAGACATAGGTTTTTTGTTTTTTTTAGGTATGCATAGGTGAAATATTATCTCAGTTTCAAGTGCTGGAATGTAAGGACTGTTTGTCTAATGAAACAAGAAGGATTTTTCCTGTTATGATTTATTGTTATTTCTACACATTGCCTAATTTGTCCATAACAGAGTTGACAAACAATAGAATAAAGACAAAAATGTTTTTTTCATTAAAAGTAAAAAAAGGAAGTAATCTGTGTTTGGCGAGCACTGAATCATTAAAATTAAATATGTTTTCTGTTAGTGAACAGTTCTTTCTTAACTTTTTGAAATGCCAGATGTATCTCCAATTATAGAATCACTCATTCAAATGTTTACCGCTGTATTATCGGCTCGGAATATAGGGCCTTCGTTAATTTGACTAGAAACACCAGATAGTGGAAATATACAGTAGCCTATCGTTCCAGTATGACAGACTTCCGCGTTCAAAAAAGGTGGATACTAATGACCTTAAAATAACTTCACCTGATACATTTCCCATAAACTAAAATAACTTCACCTGATACATTTCCCATAAACTAAACTCTAAACTAAACGTCAGATTCGCGTATGAATTACTATTGATCAAATCGGTCTTAAAATGTCTGAAATTGTGTTTGCGATTCACTTTGATTTCATTCACCGAAACGGGCTACTGTATAAAACAGGGGAAAACGGCGCTACGTGAAGATATTCCTAGCCACAATCCACTGTATGAAACATTGATGATGCATCTGTTCACTGCAGTTTGCAGCTTTATCCAAATGTTAACTCTAATTCAGACCAGCTCTAACCAGGAGATAGTTCAGGCCCCGTCGCCATCTTCACTGTATTAGGCCGATCACAAGACCATGAAAATGCTTCCTAAAAAACAAATGCGATTCACATCAGGAAAACAATCTTACTATTTGCAATGGTTTATAATGTCAACACATTCGCATAAGCCCCATGGTCGCAGGAATATAAACTCACCAGGAGTCGAGCGGTTGTTTAAACGTGGTTCACCTTCTAGTTTCACTTTTGTTTTGCTCCTTCCTCTTGCAGGCAATGTTGGAGAAGGGTCTGTCTGCGGACTGCAAGAGAGGGGCGTAACTTGAAGTTGTCCAAATCACACAGAACCACGCGAGATGTCAAAACGAGATGTTGTCGGGCTGCGTTCGAAACCGCATACTCTCGAAGTTATAGGCACTTAATTTCTTTAAGTACTTTCTTACCGAGCGCTATGAGAGTGTATAGCCTGAAGCACAGCCTGAATGCGATTCGGATATCATCCGCTATATTGACGGTGCCCGTTTTGTGGTCTTGTTGAAGAAACAGCTGCCATTTTTTTGTGATTGTAGTATAGCAAATACATTTTGGGTTGATTTAAGTTCTTATATTTTTAACTCCACTAGTGTGATTAAGAAATCCCTACAGGGCGATAGAAAATATGGTTAAAATTAGAGACCATTATACAGTTTTATGCCATTATGATTGTTCGTTGTTAGATACCACCAATCTTTCCCTGATCTTTTATGTAATTATAAGTTCGGCAATAAGAAAAAAAAAAAAAAAAAATCTAGTACTGTTTTCCTCAG